TGTTTATCCCAGTAAATCTCAGAAATGAGGACGCCTTGAGGATCAGAGAGGTATTCATAAAGCAATTAACTGCATTACTTTCTGTTAAATTGAATAATACCATCTAGCTAAGTTCTGGGTTCTATTAACTAACTTGGTTATTTTATATAGATATATTTTGTTTGCAGTAACTGGATATACATTGATAAAGACTGAAACAGAGAAATTAGAAATGGATTGATTTTTCCATTTTAATGGTTTAATTAAATTTAAATAATCAAAAAGTGTGGCTAATATTTACAGGGATTTACTGTTTAAATTAAAAACCGAACCTGAAAACTGTGTGATATTTCCTGATATTCCTTAAAAATAATTTTTTTTTAATACATTTGATTATTTTGTGAACATTCCACACAGTAGTAATATATTTATGTCATAATTTCTTACTTTCATTTGACCGGTTTCTAGTGTAAAGACCCTTGAGTTTATGTGTGTTGGGTTTTATAACAATAGTTATATCTAATAAAATGGTAAAATGCTTGTCAAGTGAACGGAGTCATGCGAATATAACACATCAAATATGGTAAATGTAATCTCAACTGTGCATGAGGATGAGTACATGATGGCAGTTTTCATTTGAGTAAACTAATATTTTAATATAGTACTCTATTACAGTAAAATAAGTTTTTTTTTTTTCATTATTGATTAGTATAACATTGGCCAAAAATTAAACAAATTAATAAATCATGTATTAATCATTGCAGTACTTTGTTAAAGTAGAGTGGTAAAGGCAGTGCACATGGCCTGATATGTTGCATGAATGGTAGCAAAATTTGAAATCCATAGTCCTTTAATTGGAAATTTATTTGAATTTAGGTTCATACAAGATCAAAACAGATTTATTCAAACTAATTACTTTTGTTGAAAAGGCTCGATTAATTAATTTAATGGAATTTCAGCTGGAATTTAATTAATTTCAGTAAATGTTTTTACAAACTAATGAAATCATAAATGGATGATCTTGAATGTAATAAGGAGCTAATTGGGATAACAGTCATTTTAAGACCATCACCACATTATTACTATTTTTGCACACATCTGCTAAACAACCATGGGCCACATCTAACTCTTGGTGACTCTGTTTTGATGGAATAGTAAAGGTGAATGTTTTGTCATATTGAAATTGCCTCACCTCACTATTATGCAGGGAGGGGAAAAAACAAACAAAATACCAGGATTTGCATAACATGACAACTAAAACCGATTGAAGCAATGATGTGCATATGACTGGAATATTTTAATGTAGTGTCTCATTTTCATAAGCTGAAAGCCCAAAGGGCTTATTGAGGTAAACGCAACAGCATTCTGAGCCACATTAGAGCAACTTGCAGATGCTGCAGTTTTAAAAGCTTGGGTTTGGGCTTATATGTTTACTATGTCTATGAACAAAATGAGAAACAGAACGCTGACTTTGTCATGTCAAATTTCTACCCATACTTGGGCATGTTCTGACAAGCTCATCAACAATTCCGCTAAACATTTAATTTAAAAGACATCCTTGAAGTATCACTGCTCTTTTATAGGGCCTCCTGTGTACATTTCTTGCTTTCCACCCCGGCAGGCATGTAATGGTCTAATTCTCACTTGGGAGTCATTATTAGCTCAAAGGTTAGTCCCGTCAGACTGAATTAATGATAAGCCTAATTAAAGTTGATGGAGAACAAGAACAGGAAGGATTATAAAGACACATCATATTATTCAGATTAGGTTTTAGAGACCAAGTGAAATCCATATATGGCCTGTTAATTCAAAATGAAGCAGATATCAAATTTAAAGAATGTTTGTTAGTGTTACATCTAGTGTTGTAACGGTACCAACATTTCTGTATTCGGTACCAATACCAGTGAAAATCCACGGTTCTCGGTACCAATATCGGTACCAAAGCAAAACACAAAAACAAGCTAATTAAAAAGCACAGTATTTTTGTTAATAAAGTCAAACAAAAATGAAATGTACAAAAATCAATGCCATTCTTTGTACTTATTTAAAATTTAGTTTTTTCCACAAGTAATAAAAGTATGAAAAAAAGTAAACAAGTTTCACCCAAAATAAAAAAAACTGTTGTCTGTTTTTGGGTTTGCTGGTGTGTTTCAGGTTCTTTCTCAGCCTGCAGCTGTAAAAGGAAAACATAATGTACTTAAGTAAAGCAATGGGCTGAGTCTGACCAAATGCAACATTAGATCATTGACACCAGCTAAAATATAACTTTTCAGTAAATAACAAACCTCAGATTTTATAATACATTTAGATAAGATTACATATATTTTAAGACAAGTGTATATCAAATAGATGAAAACTGTAGTATTAAAAACACTTTACAATAAGATTCCATTTGTTTGATAACATGACCTATCAATAAACAATAGTTATATAGCAATATTCTTTTAGGGTTAAATTCAAAATTTACTAATACATAAAATCAAAAAGTTCAGTCTGTTAAAATGATTTAATGCACAATGAACAAACATGAATGATCAAGTGTTTGTATTAAATAACATCCACAAACATTAATTAATGTTGTAAAAATATTTTGTTTACTCACTGTAAGTTGATGTTAGATAATAACATAAAGTCATGTTAATGAATGGTATCTTATTGTAAAGTCTATACAGGAGATACAATTTGACTGTACTTTCATTTAATCCAAACTGTGTACATATTTAATTTAAAGGGCTTTTAAAACCTGCTAGAGTTATCCGGCCAAGTATAACAACTAACTAGCTAAAAAATAAAAAAGCCCAGAACTGCTTTTCTGACGGACTGATATGACATAAACACTGTTAACCATTTGTACATTCTCTAACACGCATATTTTAGATTCACAATTCATTTAAAAGCCTCTGGTGTGTAAAAATAGTAAATACCATCATGTCCTCCTGTATGTTTTACCCTAATAAAAGTTATAGGAGCATTAAATAGTTAATAAACAAACTTCATTCTAATGCTCATTATATTAGCGTTAGCCGCGCTTATGCTAACGATTAACTACGCTAACAGCGATGTTTATTTCAATCCGACATTCTAATTAAAATATGGAATAATATTCATAACAGAAGATCTAAATATTAAAAATTAAATTGAAACTTACCTGCTTGAACTCTTTCATCTGATCCGGGTGTCGTCTTTAAAGTGTTTTATTAGTGTGATGTGTTTCCTCCTTTTGAGGTCGCCACGTCTCAGTCCTTTTATGAAGAGAACGCATCTGCGCACCTTTCGGATAGCGCATCAAGAACCGGGTTGACCGGGTACTCGATACCACCGGTACTTAAAAAGCTGGTACCGTAACGTTTACATTTTTTTTGTACCGACTTGGTACCAAAGTACTGGGTCTTCTGACAACACTAGTTACATCAAAGAAAAGTGTCAGACTGATAGTTTGACACTTTTAAAGATTATTAACTTATACATAAAATAAAATGGACCTAACTTCAAATTACGTTTTTTCAGATGTAAAGTATATTGAGCTGCATTGTCAAGAGTTAAGACTAAACAATAACATTCAAATTCAGCTACACTACCTGATAAACATTGTTTTGTTGGTAGTTTTGGTACATCAAAGAAAAGTGTCAGACTGATAGTTTGACACTTTTAAAGATTATTAACTTATACATAAAATAAAATGGACCTAACTTCAAATTACGTTTTTTCAGATGTACAGTATATTGAGCTGCATTGTCAAGAGTTAAGACTAAACAATAACATTCAAATTCAGCTACACTACCTGATAAACATTATTGTTTTGTTGGTAGTTTTGTATCTCTTGGAGCAGATTTTTAGGGGTGATTTTGTTGGTTTCAGATGTTTATCTAAAAAGAAATGATCATTGAAACACTGATAGGTCATTTGGGTTGATGGAAGAAATGTCCTTTTGACTTTACGTGAGCATTAGCGAGTGGAATAATTTGCATGCTTTGAAATTAGACTAATTGGACATGTGCTTTGATGTACAGACCAACAGAATAAGGTTATTAAATGAACTACGGCATGAGAGCGCTGGATGAATCAACAGACATTTAGCCTGCAACTACTGTTTAAAACCAAGCCCTGTAAAACAAGCTGACAAGCTGAGTTTACTTGTTTTATTTGAGGGGGGCAAGTGCTTTGACTGTTATGAGCTGCATATGAAAATATACTGTGCATTCAGTATGTCATCTTTATTGTGGAATAATTCTGTTGTTATATTGAGTACTTATTGCTGTGATCATGCAAGTGTAGCGTTATCGTATCGGATATCGAATATCGCATTATTTAATGAGTTATCGCATATCGCATTTTTCTTCAATATCGCACAGCCCTAGTGTGAACCAATTTGAATCCTGAAAAGACTTGTTCAGTTGGTCAAAGGAAGACCTTTCGCAAAGACCTCACATTATTGGATGATTCAGTATTACTGCCATTCACATGCTTGTGCCGTCCTTGAGCAATTCATTATGTGTGATTACCAGGGTTGTGTGCCATTCGGAATTGAATTGAGAATGCTTTTTAAATTCTAATTCAGTTCCAGATTTTGCCTTGGTAGCAAACAGGATGCATAAGTGCAATTCATATGTTAATGTAAGGCAGTAGAATTGAAGTGAATTGAAGGTAAGAAAGTGTTAAAAGAGGATTCCTTTTTAACAGGAAAAGCTAAATTTGTAAAAACAAAATGTCGTCTTGACAAAGCCTTGTTTGAAAGTTTGAATGAAATGAATGAATTCTGTCATCATTTAGCCTACTCACTCTCATGCCATTCCAAACCTTTCAGTCTTCTGTGGAACAAGAAGATATTTTGAGAAATGTCTCTTCTTTCATGTTCCACAGAAGAAAGACAAGCATACAGGTTTGCAACAACTTGAGGCTGAGTAAATTATGTAGTTTTAATTTTTGAAGCTTTATATTGTTGAATTGCCTACATTCATTTACAGCATGTGTTCTTATAGGTGCTGCTTGTAGTACTGATTTTGTAATCTCTTTGTTTTTAGTGGAGTTCATGTACCTGGATTTGGCCTCTTTGACATCTGTACGACACTTTGTCCAGAGATATAAAGCCAAAAGTTTGCCATTACACATCCTTGTCAATAATGGTATGTAAATTCCTCAATTTCTCTAGTTTCTTAAAAAAAAAAAAAAAAAACGCATTATTAGGCCACAGCAGTTGTGCTGTAATAGTTTATATTCTGTCATATTTTCAGTGTCTAACATTGTTTATTTATTGAAAGCATTACTATTGTTAACAATACATTAGTACTGAAAATGCAGTATTTGTTAAAGCATTTATTATTTTAGGTCCATATTAATTTATCCATAGACATTTTAACATTTCACATTGTATATATGAATAGGTACAATGAACAAACATGAAATTGCAATGAATAATAGTATATTTTTTCAATAACCTAGATTAATAAATACTGCACAATTGCTGTTCATTGTTAGTTCGTGATACTTAATACATTCATGTTAACAAATTGAGCCTTACTGTGAAGTGTTAGCTATTTATCATTTTTAAGGGCTGTACATCTTGTCTCTCAACCTGAAATCTCTTGCGTCCTCCTAAGCTCGCTCTGTTGGACATGTCTGGTCTGTGTCCTGAGGGCCTTAGGGGTTGTTTGTTTTAACTGAGTGACTTTTATTTAGAAGCCTGCTCCAGGGAATGCCTCAAAATGACAGGAGCAGTCACACACTGTCCTCTCCCTAACAGAGATAATTAATAATTCACGCTCCCCTTTTCCCGTTTGTTCTCTGTGGCACACACCCTTCCCCTCTGATGCCGGTTGATGGGCAAATGCATTTGTGCCACCCCATTGAGGGTCTAATGATACAGAAAGGTCAATGCTTGACCCCTCTAGTGCCCTGGCTGGACAGGACACTGCATGTGTCTGAGGGAGAGTCAGGGGACATTGATTGTCTTTTCAGAGATCCTTCAATCATGGATCGATAACATTAGGATGCATTAGGTTTAACTTTCCAGTAGGGTTGGACAATAAACCATAACATATTAGGTTTGTTGTAAAATGTATGTTGATAAAGATAAGCTCTGGACATTTTTACTCTATGGATTAATCTAACAGTCTAGTAAACACATCAGAAATAAATATAACTTTTAGCGAGGAAAAACTGCCATCCAATATTAACCAAAACTCAAAGATCTTTATGACAACCCGCCAAAAGAGTGGGGTTTAACTTGAAGAAATTATAACAGAAATATATTACCTTAGGGATAATGTACAGTCTTGCAACGCCCTGAAGGGGTTTATTCTGCAATAACAACTGGCTGGATGTACATTACACTAGGGCTGCACGATAAATCGAAATGGAATTGAGATCGCAATTCGACAGAAGCTGCGATTGTCATGCGTATCTTTCAGTGAAGCACGGTTCTGTGATCAGCAGTAAATCTCCATCCAAAGGCTAGAGGGCGCTCTCACGCTGAAACTCCAAATACGCCTCGCAGAAGAAACCCAGGAAATGCCTATCGCTGCAGCTGAATAAACAGAAGATTCAACTGCTTTCATTGATTCAACGTGACTAATAAACACACGACTACGGCAATATACGGTTT